GATATACAAATATTAAAATATATAATTTTTTAACAACTAAATTATAGTTAAGACTTAAGTAGGTGTCAACCTAATTGGGATGCACTTAAACTATAAATTATAATAAAACTAAGTGTCAACCTAGTTGAGATATACTTATACTATAAATATTTGATAATAGTAATTAGAAATGCATTTAATTGTTATTTTTTTAAATTAAATTTAACTTTACAAAGTTATAAATAATTCATATAACATTAAATTTGAATTCTATGTAAACATTTCATGATATAAATTTAACTTTGTAAAGTTATAAATAATTCATATAACATTAAATTTGAATTCTATATAAACATTTCTTGGTATAAATATGAATTTATCATTTTATTCAATTCTTAGTTTACATTTAACAAAAAAAATATTTTTTGCTATAAATATGAAAAATCTACATTTTTATAATTTTATTTATACAATAATACGGGTTAAATCGAAACAAATCGGGACCCACGCGACCCTTGACCCGCATGGGCTCGACCCGGATGGGTCAGCGGGTGGGCCTGGGTTGTACTCCAAAATTTGTGTGCCGACCCGGAACCCATAGTGGGTGGACTTTTTTTCACGCGGGCAGTTACCGGGCTCGTATGTTGGCGGGCCGACCCGGCCTGGACCACCCGGATTGACACTTCTAGCACTTACCATATGTGTCCTAATAAGGAATGGTTCACTGATTTTGAAAATGTATCTGGATGTAAGCTTTTAATGGGTAATCACATGACATGTCACTTAAAAGGTGTAAGAACTATCATTTTGAACTTAATAGGGAATAATAAGTTGATTCTTGAAAAGACAAGATATGTTCCTAATTTACAAAGAAATTTGATTTCCTTAGGGGTTTTAGATGACTTTAACTTTGGCATTGTGATCAATAAGGGATACATTAAAATCTTGAGGAGCTCTCAGCTGATTGTAGAAGTTCCCAAAAGACATGGCCTTTACATTTTACAAACCAAAAATTTTTTGGAGTCCACTTCAGTAGTAATCTCAGACCTAAATGATAAATCACAAGTATGACATAAAAGATTGGGCCATATTAGTGATAAAGGTCTTTAGATTTTGAAAAAAAAAAAGGGTGCCTTTGATAAAGATAACATTGAAAAATTGAGTTTTTATGATTATTGCATTTTAGGAAAGCATAATAGATTACCTTTTCTACTTGGAATGCATAAATCTGTCTCCATACTTGAATATTTGCATAAAGATCTTTGGGAGCCAACATCTGTGTGTACACATTCTGGTTTTAAATATTATTTGCTTGTCATTGATGATTTTTCAAGGAAAAATTGGACTTTTTTGCTAAAATCAAAATCTGACACGTTTAATGTTTTTAAGGAATTGAAACTTTTAATTGAGAACCAAATTGATAAGAAAATTAAAGTTTTAAGAATCGATAATGATTTGGAATTCTGCAATTATGAGTTTGATGAATTGTACAAATTATTTGGTATGTTAAGACATAGAACAGTCACACACACACACACACCACAACAAAATGGCTTGGTAGAAAGAATGAATAGAACTATTTTTGATAAAGTTAGATGCATGTCTTCCCCTTTTGGAATGGACTAAACTAAGTATAATTTAGAAGCCTCTGGAAATGAAATAAGATACGAAAGTGGATTACGGGATAGATAGATTAAAGGGAAAGTGGAACCGCTTACGTAAGATTCACCGTATGTTCTACGAACTGTTGGCACATATAGGGGTCACATGGGATCCAAATACCAACAAAGTTAATGCTGCAGAGGAAGTTTGGCAATACTTTTATATGGTATATTTATTTATTAAAGAATATTGTCGTCTTTATTTTTTGAGATATTCAATTCTACCTCATTTCTAATGGGACTTCTTTTGTAATGTAGATTAACAGGTCGGATTACAAGCTGTTCAAAAAGGAAGGCTATAAGCACTATTACACTCTCGGGGAGATATTTAGTGGAACTACTGCTACTGGAGGATTAGACAATCCCTCCACTCAGCTTCCAAACACATCAGAGGAAGAAAGACAGCTAGAAGATGACTTCTTGAACAGGGGAGTGCATGTACGTGTGGAAAATGATGATGAAGTGGATGTGATTTCAAATACTCGTCGGCGTGAGGAAATTGGTACGTCAGGTGGCAAACGTAAAGAACCTAAGATGAGTAAAACTGATAAACTTGAGGCCTGCATGGCACAGTGGTCATCTACCGTTAGTATGAGGAATGGAGAAACTGAAATTAGAACACTTTATTTCAAAGAAAAGCTTGCAAAAATACAAGAAAAATCATGTAATCAATCGGATAGCAAAGTTAGTAGTCATGATAATTATTCTAGTGTTTTATGCATGGACATCTTAAACAATATGGAAGGTTTGTCAAATGGGGTTTATATGAAAGCAATAAAGGCTTTTGAAAGTCACACTTTTAGGGTGTCGTTTGTGAAAATGCCAGAAGCGAGGAGAGGACCTATCTTGGAACTACTTTGATAACATTGTTGTTTTAATTTCTCTAGTATCTTGTTGTTTTCATTTGTGATATGCAATGTTGAAGTACTGTTTTATTTTCGGGACTCCTAGTATGTACGTTTGTAAACTTTCATGGTGATATGCTGTTTTCATGTACGAACTTTGTGATGTTGTTGGTTACGGAACTGCTGTTACTTTCATGCTATTAGTTCTAATGTGAATGAGTGAATGCTGGTTGTTATGACTTATGATAAAACATGTGGGTATATTTTGTTCACGGTATGGATGATAATGTGAATGTTGACGATTCTATTGCTAAAAATTCTAATGATGAAGACTTGTTAATGACGGATGAGTTTGACGTAAATTCCATTGACAATTTAATGATGCTTAATATGATTGATAATCACAGAGGAAGAACCGTTGATAGGATACCTTGTAGGACATCATTGCTTACGGGAAAAATGTAAGTGCTAGAAATTCTAAATGGACATCCTGACGTATGCTATCGCAATTTTC